TCACCTTATGAAAAGTGTTTCATTAAGAAACTCTGCTTTTGATTAATTATCGACAGAATGCTGACCAGAAAGAAATGAAATTAATCTCTGACCCCGTCTGGGTAGCACTGGAAATTCATCACATATCCTTTTAATATTGAAACACAGCGCAGAATTTTAATAGAAAATATTGTTTTTCCAAACCTCCAGTCTTTATTAATGCCCCTGGGCAGGGAATGATATTGCTGGCAATATAGCAGTCTTTGTTCATTTTAAATTTATTAAACATAATGCACTTCATTTTCAAACATTTTACTGTTTCTTTTTAATTTCACTCAGTGTAAGTACAGAATAAAACCTTTTTAAACATTTAAGATATTGAAAACCCATATACGGATGTATAACGGAAACGCTCCGGCCATCAAATAAATTTAAGTAGAAGCAATTGTAATTTTAAGCTCCCAAGTATTATCCCCTTCAGACATTAAGGCAGCATCAGTAACCGTCAAATGAGAGTACGGAGAGCCGAGACTGGGAGACTCCCCTATCCCCAGAACTGCCAGGGGGACCCGCCGGCCCAGCAGCCCCTCTGGGCCTCTTTGGGCGGTGGGCTACACTTTCCTCTCTCCCGATTTGGTTGGCCCAAGTGTAATCTTTCTGGAACCTGAGTGCCTGCTTACGATGTGCCCACCTCCCCCACTCTGTCCACCCGGACTAGGGCCCACCCTCCCCCCTCCAGCAGGACACAGTTTTTTTTTTTTTTTTCCTGGAATCGGAAGGCATCTCTTCCCTTCCAGGCCAGGCCAGCCCCCACCCCAGCCAAGGGGCTTTCAATCCTGCCCCCCTGAGGTGGGCACCCAGAGAGTTCCCTAGCCCTGGGGAGGGCCTACCCAGAGATCATGCCCCCCACCCCCACCCTTCCTTCCGGGCCAGCTGCTGCCAGCGGAGATGGACCGGGCAGCTACCTCCAACACCACCCCCCTCCCCAAGAACTCCGGCCCTCACCCCCTTTCCGAGGAATCCAAGCCCCGCGTTTAATGAGTCGTGAAGTGTGAGAACTTCCGGACCGCGGCGCCCCTGATGCCAATTCCAGATGTGCGAGGTGGGAGGGGCGGGGCCTCCGCCCGCGAGGACCCAGCCACCGCCGCCTGACCGCAGCGCCCTGGATCCAGGTTCCAGCGATCCCGGCCCTGAATTGGAAACAGGCAACTTCTCCACTGAGAAATTACTCTTTTTATTTCGTGTAGCGTTCCTGGTGCCCTATTTCACGGCACCGACAAACGGAATATTACTTTTAAAACACTATGAAATACCAGGTCCTGTCCTTGGAGCTATTTCGGGGGAATTCAATTTTCGCTGAATGGTGAGAAGGTCCAGCGTTTCTCTGGGGGGCTGATGGGTGGCTGGGTGGGAGGAAGAGGAAAATCTTCAAGGGTTGCCTTGGCATTCCAGAGAGGCTTGTTTGTGTCCGGGTGGCACACCCACCTGCAGCCCTGCAGACACCTGTACATTCAGCACTTTCTCAGGTGCATCAGACACAAGGCTGTCCCCTTGCCGGCTTCTGAACCCTTAGCATTCTGGCAAACAGTGTGACCAAGTTAAGTGATTATGGACAAAGTCATGTCACCTGTCATCTGTCCAACAGCAGACCCCCCTCCCCCGTAGGTGTCCTCATCTCCTCAAGAATGGTCATTCTGACTTACTGAGAGAGAAGTTTGCCTCTGTCCTATATTCCTTCCTCCCTCTCTTCTCTAGCAAAGGCTCCGCCCTCCAGGCCTCAGGGCAGATAACTTAGTTCCCCGTGTCATGGTCAGAACTGGGAGCAAGCAGAGGGCTTATCCAGGAAGATCAGCTGTCCCTCTTGCTTTCTCCTTAGTGTAACAGATGAGACTCTAGTTGGGAACAAAGAGAGCAACTTCTAGGTGCTGCTCCCAAAGCTAGAGACCCCAGACCCCAGCTCTCTGTCACAAGTTCCAGAAAGATCAACCAGGCCTTGCTCCATTTTAGCTAGTCACCCCACCCTGGCTGGGCAGAGCCTAGCCCCAGCTTCCCTCCTAGGCGCTGGGAGGCCTGCAGCATCTACATGAATCTGGGGAATTTTTTAGAGTATACATGGAAGAGTGTACATGGAATTTTTTAGAGTATACATGGAATTTTTTAGAGTATACATGGAATAGGCACTGCCCTATTCCCATAAACAAGAAAGAAATGGGGACTTGGGAATAATACCAAGTGCCCCGTGGCCCCTCCCGTTACAGCCTTCTTTTTTCTGAGTCATTGTCCCAGCTGGTCAGGAAGGGACAGTTTGGTAGTTTGATGACCACACCCAGGAGCAGGCCCCCATCTCACCAGGGCACCGCCAGGGAAGAGCCTACTGGGAGTCCAGGAAAGAAATAGGAGCAGGAGTGTCCTGTGAATATAATCCACTGCTCGCTACAGATCTTCTTAAACTAGCAAGAGAGAAAAGAGGCCCAGACTACAACAGGAGGCACTCCGCTTCAGGTGCCCTCCACTTGCAGCTGCTTGGTTACACCTGAGCTGCTTCCTGCCTGCTGGAGGCTCAGCCCAGAGTGGAGGGTCTCCCTACAGTGTCCACAGCTCAGATTTGCTTGGATTAGGGGATCTGAGGCTGCGGTACTCCAGTATAGAGAAAAACTCCTCAGCACCCCAGTTCCCTGGGCCCTGGCACTACAAAAACCCACTTTGCACTTTCCTGTAAACAAATGCTTACTGGAGTTGGAGTCAGAGTTAAGTCTCTCTCTCTCTCTCTCAAAAAAAAAAAAAAAAGATAACAAAGTGATTTAAAGATAATTAATTGCATTAAACTATTGACTAACTACCTCGCTCAATAGTAATTCATTTAGAGAATATTAAAATCGGAGGAACAATAATAAAATTGATGCCAATTCCCACGGGGAGGGAGAAGGCCAGCAAATTGGATACTTTTCTTAATCTGGCGTAAATAATAACATGTCTGCTCCCGTTCTCTCTCAGGCCAATTCCCCTATCATTTATTCCAGACTCCAAAGCTGGGTTTCATAATTGATATCAGTTACTCAATGAGTGCTTTTTCATTTGTTCTTGTTATCCGTGATAATTGCGAAGTTCAGCCTCTTCGAGTTGGGATTGGGAGCCGGCCTGGTTCTTCCAGAGCCAGGCACTGCCGGGCAGAGGCTGGCTTGGAAGGTAGGGGCTCTGGCTGCTCCTGGTGTTTGGCTCCCCTGTGGCAGTTTGTCAGGCCCAGGCTGGCAGCTTGGTCCTAGGATTGCGCTGAGCAGGACTGGACCCAGGTGGCCCCACAGTGCGGGTCCTTCTTGCTGCAGATGACCACCCAGAGCCAGTTAGGCCATGCCCCAGAAGAAACACTAGGAATGGCAAACCCAGGGTTAAGAGCCCCGGTCCAATCTGTTTTTGTTGGAAAAGCTGTGGGTGGGAGTGATGAATCCCAAAATATGTCTGGGGGAAAATGCCTGGTGCCTGGAGGAAATTTTGGGAGAGGGAGGAAAAGGGGGTCGGAGGAGGGACATTTCATTGAGACAGACAGTCGGGCCTGTTCTCCATGCTGCAAAGGGGTGGGGGCGCAGATGCCAGGTCCCAACCTTCCTACCCCCATCCTGAAGCCTGGACCAGGGACCGACGACCCTGGCTCGAGCCCTGGCAGCCGGGCGGGTCGTGAGATGACTATTTCGTTATTTATTCACTTATTTATTCATTTATAAAGTGTTTACTTAGCTCAGTGCAGATGTAACATCTCATTTACAGCGTGGCCTCGGGGCATAGAAACAATTGGCAACAAAAGAGTAACTCCGGAGAATTAGAGAAAAACACACACACAACACCATCACGAGTCGGGGGTGGGTGGAGAGAGCCTGAGATGCTGGGCCCTAGCGAGGAGACTGTCCAAGCTGAGACAGGACAGCGCACAGACCCCGGGAGAGGCTGTGGGCGGCAGATGACCTCTGGAGAGGGCAGGGACGGAACTGCGGGCGTGTCATTGGGTGCCCTGCACGGTGTTGTGTACTAGCCTCAGGGGATGCAATAAAAGGGGGACCGGAGAAGCCTTTTTCGAACGGCTATGGGCTGTAGCGCGCTGGCGGGACCTACCCGAGACCCGGAGGCGGCGGTGGACACACAGGCTCAGCGCAGCCGCAGCCGTGTCCATTTGGTGCTGCAGGGCAGCCCCACCGAGGACGTGCATCTCCCACCCCTTCGCTGTCCCGGCACGGGCGGCAGCTTGCCGGCCTCTCTCGTGTCCTGGGACCCTCTGCTGTCCATTCGCTAGTTCGGGGTTGGCTGGGCATCGCGTCTGGCCGGGCAGGGCGTGTAGGGCGCGCAGGCCTGTCACAGGGCTGCCTCGCTCCTGCCCGTCTGAGCTCTCAGTCAGTCCTCGGCTGTCTGATCACAGCTCTTGGCACTTGGGAAACTGAGCCTGAGACTCTGGGACGCGCGTGAGGCAGCTGGGACTCTGGTTAGGATGCCTGGGATGGGGTGCAGAGGGACGGAAAGTGGCTGCAGGTGAGAATTTGTCCCTGACTCTGGGCGCTTGGAGCGCGCCCGCACCCATCCACCGGCGGTGCCTGGCATCTCCACTGTGGGCGTCCTCACCGCCTGCCCAGAAGGGGCTGCAGGAACCCTGTCCCTTCCTTGCCCAGTCCAGACCCTTCTCTTGCAAGGACCCCGCTCCTCCCTGTTCCTCCCACCGCGGGTACTCGCTGCTCCCGTCCTTCCCCTCCCCCTCGCCCTCCAGCTCCGCCCCTCCCCAGGGAGACCACGCCCTCCTTGCTGGGCCCCTCCCCTCCCCTACGGGGACCCCTCCCGCTGGGGCGGCCCGGGCGCCGAGCCCCGTGCAGCCGTCAGGGCACTGACGGGAGGCAGCTGCGGCTGTGTGACTGGGAGCTGGTTGCCTGGCAACCCGAGGCGGCTCATTACCGCGGCCACAGTGATTAACCAAAAAAGAAAAAAAAAAAGAGAGAAAAAAATAAAGGAAAGAAAAAAGAAGGAAAGAAAAAAATAGGGGAAAATCGGAAATATGAAAGTAAAAACTAGCTCATTGATAATCAACTTCTTTTTAATTATTCACTTAATTTAAAAAGTGTAACTACAAACCTGCCCTCATGAAGCTGTTGATATGCTGACAGGGTTTTCAAAGCTGTCCCAGCCGCGGTGGACTGGGAGGCAACTCCTCCCCTGCTTCTCCGGTCATCCCTGCAGAGTGCCACCTGTGAGGGGTGATTTAGAATATTCTTCAAAGCTGGTATGTCTGCCCCCCTGGCAGCAGGACATTGCCTCATCCCCAGCCTCAGTTTCCCTGCGTATGGGCACTACTTGTCCTCAGCTTCATGAAGCTGCCTGTCACCTTGTGGACAAATGTGGAGGCTGAGAGGACAGGTTTCGGCCACTGGCCATCACAGTATGTGAGCAGGTAAGCGCCCATGGAACCACTGGGAGGAGAGGAACCAGGGTCTCACTCAGGGGAGTGAACAACTGCAGGGGTGGTGGGTGCTGTGGTCTGTTGTCCCTGTCCCTCTGGGAGGGTGCTCCTTCCCTATGGCCAGGGTGACTCCCACCTTCTACTTCCTCCATTCTTCCTCAGCGGAGGCTTCCTGAACACTGTCCCTGGCTGGCGGGAGCAGCCAGGGATACCTACATCTGGGTGATGGCTGCATTACAGTGCACAGGCCAACCCTGGGCCCCACAGCAAATCCCTTCAGGATGACTAAGAGAACCCCTTGCAAACCCATTGCGATTTAACTTCTTTCACAGTAACCCTCTTGCATCAGGCCTTTCTCCAGGATCTGTGTACTGGGTAACCCAAGCTAAGTCAGGAAAGGTAGGTTGGGGACAGCAGGTACAGGGATGGTGGAGGGGTGGGCTGGCACCTGTCTTGGCTCTGGGTAACAGAACTTGCTGATCAATTGAGAGTGAGGGAGTGGGGGAAATGAGGGTCCCTGGACTTGTAGAGCAGGATGCAGTGAGGGTCAGGCTGGACATGGGTGAGGAGGTCCTGGCTCCAGTGTTAGCCCAGGCCCAGGCTCTCAGCCCCTCCCTTCTTTTTTTCCTTCCCCTCTCCTCTCAGCTCAGGTTCAACTGTCTCCTGTTGTCACCCTGCAGGCTTCAGCCATCTCTGAATCTCAACCTCTCAAAGATCACAGCCGCTTCATTGGACAGTAGGAGGACATTTCTGCTAGGAGAGACAGGGGCGGGTTATTGCCCTTCGCCCACCAACTCCAGCCACTGGCCTTGACCTTTCCCCTCCTCTCTGAGGTGTGGGGGCTATGGATAGTGGAAGGGATGCTGCTTCAGTAGGGAATCACCAGCAGAATCCCTGGCACCATTGGCCACCTAGATACTGCAGACACAGGAGGGAAGGACCACCTCCCCCTGCTTCCCCTCTTCTTTCCTCCCTCCCAGTTCCATGGCTCCATTTAGAGCAAGGTGAGATAGCTGGGCACAGCATTGCACACCTGTAATCCCAGCGATTCAGGAGGCTGAGGCAGGAGGATCCCAAATTTGAGGCTAGCCTCAGCAACTTAGTGAGACCCTGTCTCAAAACAAAAAGGGCTGGAGATATGGTTGAGAGGTAAAGTGCTCCTGAGTTCAATCCCCAATGTCCCTTCTGGCCCAAAGGAGCCAGGTGAAGTCATCTAAGGGGTTTTTAGGAACCCTTGGTGCCCAGGTCAGGAGGGAATGGGAGTGGGTAGTTGATGGCACTAAGTTTGTCTCTGAACCTCCGGCAATAACCCTAGGCTGGATGAGAACCAGAGTCTAACCTCCTCATTTGACTCTGGGTCACCTTCACAGGTCACAGCTATGGGGCAGCCCAGGGAACTCTGGGAGAGCAATCATCAAGAGCTGTTCTGTTTACTGTGGGCAGAGGCCAAGGAGGCTCATCTGGTTGGCTCAGGATCTTTTTCTCTAAGTCAGTGTCATTGTCACTTGCATTCCCTTGTCTCAATTGTCTGTGAGTCTAAAGGTGAATTCCAGATCTTGAAGCTGTTGTCTGTAAGAATACCTTAGTGGGATTCCATTTGGTCTTCCGGGGGCTTCAGTGGACTGGCCAGGGTGAGCTCTCCTGGTCACTTTGCATGGAGAGAGCATTATGTTGGCCAGAAGTGCAGTCAGTTTGGGGGCCACACCTGGTTGCAGGGGGCTGGGGAGGACCCTTGGTTGGCAAGACTAGGTTGAACAGCCTTGAACAGGACTCTTTATTTTCATGATGCCTCTCTCTTCTTCCAGGAACAATCTTAGGTCCCCCCAGGTCACCTGGGTGTCCCTATCCTCCATGCTCCACCCCACCAAAGCCCTTCAGCTGGGCATGGGAAGCTACAGAACACTCCAGGTGTGACCTCCTGGATGGTTTCTCAGGGCTGCCTCGCTCTGAAAGCTGAGGAAGCCGGGCTGAGCGGGGCACCTTCTCCTCACTATGGGAACATGGGGCCTGAGTTCCTTGTTCAAGTTCACCTCTTGGATCTGAGTCAAGATCCTCCTGAGTGGAGACTGGAAAGATTACACATGCTGTGGGCTGAGCTGTGTCCCCCCCGCAAAACTCCAGTGCTGAAGCCCTGAACCCCAGCACCTCAGAATATGGAGAGAGGGACCTTGAGAGAGGGGATTAAAGGGAAGTGCGGTCACTGGGGTGGCCCTACCTAGTCCAGTCTGACTAGGGTTCTTTGAAGAGGACTCCAGGACCCAGATACACCCAGAAAGATGACCCGGTGAGGACACAGAGAGAAGATGCCATTTGCAAGCCACACGAGGGCGGACTCAGGAGGAACCAGCCCTGCTCCTCCTTCATCTGGGACTGTAGCCTCTCCAGGGCTGTGAGAGAGTCCACGTCTGCACTGAAGCCACCTGGTCAGTGGTGTGGGCTAACTGTCGACACCAGACCTGAAGGAGATGCCCACCCATCTATGGGGGTCTCACTGGGCCCTGGGGGGGGTCCCTGGGGAGGGGATTTTTGCCACAAGGTAGCCAACTGTGAGAAAACACCAAGGTCAGGGGTGACCTGTAGCCTTTTCTCCAGGTCAAGCAGCCCGGGACAGAGAAGGAGACCTTCTTGTTCCCATCCGCCCGTCCGTCCACTCTTCTGGTTGGGAGATGGAGGTCTCTGGCCTCCTCATGTCTCCGTGGCTTAGAGCTGGGCTGTGGGGAAGGCAGCAGGTCTCTGCGTTCCCCGGGGTGCTTTGGTGACGTGGAGCCTTGCCACTGGGAGGAGGGGCTTGGTGTGGCCTGGACCTGGTTTCTACGGAGGGGAGTTGGCACGTGGGGTGGCGGGATGTTCTCAGCTTTTAGCTGCAGATTTATGTAAATATGGATTATGGAGTTTGGCCCCAGTTCTCCCTTCCCCTTTCCCCTCCCCTGCCCCGGAACATAGTGGGCATTAGCGCCCGTTGGTTGGTGGATTTCCACAGCCTGTCAATGAGCAGCACTTAATTCTCAGGCAAATGTCGACTTATCTCGCTGTGTGGTGGGCTTAGGCATTTGCCTCGCTCAGCCTGCAAAGCCGTGGAAGGGAGGGAGGGACGTGGCCACAGAGAAGGGGTGGCTTCCCTCACCAGGGCCTGCTGCGTCTCCTGGCTTTGTCCTGGCAGTCCCATGCAGGACTGGGAGCACAGAGAGAAGGCTCCTCAAGGGCAGTGGGCCTCTGTCTTGCTGTGTGTCTCTGAGTAGGTTCCTTCCTTTTATTTTATTCTATTTTTTTTTTTTTTTTGGTACCAGGGATTGAACTCAGGGGCACTTGACCACCGGGCCACATCCCAGCCCTATTTTGTATTTTTCTTTTTTTTTTTTTTTTTTTTTTTTTTTTTTTTTTTTTTTTTTTTTTTTTTTTTTTTTTTTAAAATATTTATTTATTAGTTATTGGTGGACACAACATCTTTGTTTGTATGTGGTGCTGGAGGATCGAACCCGGGCCGCACGCATGCCAGGCGAGCGCGCTACCGCTTGAGCCACAGCCCCAGCCCTGTATTTTTCTTTAGAGATAGGATCTCACTGAGTTGCTTCGTGCCTTGCAGTTGCTGAGGCTGGTTTTGAACTCGAGATCCTCCTGCCTCAGCCTCCCAGCCACTGGGATTACAGGTGTGTGCCCCACCACACCCGGTGGTTCCTTCTGTTTTTGAGGTTCAGTTGTTCTGTCTCTGAGAAAACAGGGACAGTAAGATTCCTTCAGGGTGACCCTGGGATAGCTAGTAAATGAATGAGTGTGGCCAGCCCTATCATTTGGGACTCAGCCACCTGAAAGTCTGTCCCCAGACCACGTCTTGCTTAGAAAGATGCAGGTGTCAGGAGACAGGCAGGTAGGAAACATTGAAACTCAGAGTCAAGTCTGACTAGCCCTGTAGAGCTGAGCTCCTCACCCCTACCCTCTGGGCAAGAATGAAGGACAAGGCTCCAGGCCTGCCAGGATGCAGCAGTGGCCCCTTGGGCAGGTGTCACTAGATTGTGAACAGGTACTAGTGATGGACCGCAGGCTGGTGAGCATGCTGAGGAGGTCAAGGGCAGCTGGCCCAGGCTTGGAGCCCATGAGCACCCCAGCACATGCCTGGTGTGGTGGGACTTGAGTTCCAGTCTGCAAACTGAGTCACCCCTGGTTTTCCACCAGGTCCCGGGTGGGGGGGGGCGGTGCCACTTGCCCTTGGCCCTATCTTCTCCATCACTTCCCTCTCCCTGTGGTTTCAGAGCTTCGAGAACCACAAAATTAGTTCTAAAAAAAAATAAAAAAAAATCACCCCCTTATTTCATTGCTAATCTCCTAACTCCCTTAATTAAGTCAATGGTAGCCTAAATTGCTCTAAACATCTTTGGGGGGATTATATATTTTAATCATCATTATCCAATGAATATTTGATTATAGAGTCATCATATAATCAAGAGTAAAAATTATAATCCCAAAAAAGGGGCATTTAATAACACTTTAAACGACTGGGTGTTTGATAAAGGGCGTGAGGGGATTAGGTGCCGACTGAAAGACTGGACGGAGCTCCCCAGTCAAGGACTCGAGCGATCGCTTTGCTTAAACGTAGGGCCAACCTTTGAGAAAAAGGAAGCAAGAAAAACCGAGCTGCTGGGCTCCCCCAACACCCAACCCCTTCTCGAGGACTAAGGTGTCTGTTCTCCTTTGAACAGCTGTTTTGGAAACGATGGCTAAAAATGTCATCAGGTTTGGGGATTGGACCGTGTTCTGTGAGTCCTTGAGCAAGCTGAGAAGCAGGCTCATGAGCCTCCTCAAGTGAGTGTCCGTCTTGTGGACGAGTCCTCCAGGGTCCAGCAGGACAATGACGAGTACAGGACATCCTGTGGGTTTGCCACCCCGGTCTGGAGCTAGGCTTCCTGTGGCCTGGATATGGCGTGTTCTATGAAGGGCACATCCCCCTGCTCCCCACCCCACCGCACCCCATTGCAGCTCACCTGTCCCAGGCCTTCCCCTGCAAGCACCAGCTCCTCAGGCCATTGGTAGAGCCGTCCTGGATGCAGGGAACCCTGAGACCCGACCGGCTCACCTCCTTCCCGTCGGAGAGGCCCCTCTATTGACGTCTGCTGGAATCATTTGAGACAAAGTTACTGCACGGGCATTAGAGCCACTTTTCAGAGCGAAACATCTGTCATTTAGCACTATGACGCTACGGGGACGGCACTTTAGAACAATCTTGTTGCATTTAATTTATTTTCTTCGGAACACTGCAGAGAGAAGGGTAAATTCTTAGGTTCTCTGTGTGGACAGATCCAGAAGCCCCGCCCCACAGCTGGGAGATGCCCGGCCTGGGGGCCACCCTCTGGCCCTCAGGGCAGATTGATTTATTCTTCAGACTTGCAGGGGCCGCCTGGGAACACTGGCAGACCCCCTTCCCGAAGCCCCAGGGACAAAGGGGGGTCTGGGGGGGGTAGCGTGCTACTGGCTGAAATGTCATCCTGGAGAGGAGCAGCTGGCACCTCCCCCATCCGGGGACTCTCCTTGCCACCTGTGTCATCCTTGTGCACCCCCTGCCCCCAAGAGCCTGGTCTCCAGGATCCGCCTGTCCCACCTCCAGCATAAGACAGAGTAAACCCCTTGTCCAAGCCTCTCTTCCCTCCCCCACCCTCAGAGATGACACCATGTGTAAATGTCCTTTCCCGGCCTCCTGTCCCTGCTTCTTGGGCACCCCTGAGAGGTTGATAGAGGGCCCCCATTTCACACAGGAGGAAGCAGAAACTCAGAGGGGTCAGACTCGTGCCTGGAGCCAGTTGGCGGCAGCGGATCAGGGATTTGAAGGCCAGCGTGTGACCCTGCAGCTAGACACTTCCCAGTGTGCTGCCCTAGAGGGCTGGCGGGCTCTGCACCTGGGGACTTGAGTGCATCCCAGGAGAGCAGGCAGGAGCTGGAAGAGGCCGGGGCGCAGTCCTCAGGCCAAGAGCAATGCTCACCCTCCTCCATCTATTCTGCACGTCGGCAGCAACAAGCTCCTTCCTCCGGGCCACCTGGAAGCTCCCCTCCTGGGGCCAGTGCTGTGGTCCCCATCTCTGCCCTGTCCCCGTCTGCCTCACACTGGGCTGCTGGGGAACACACAGGTGTCCCCATCACCTGAGGAGGATCATGGGTGTCCCCCAACCTTCCCCTAGCTCTGGTAAGGCCGAAACCCAGGCGGAGACCATGGAATGAATCTCCCACACAGGCTCCAAGCTTGCTGAGATCAGTCCAGGGTCCTAGGTCCCACCAGGGTTGGTTGGTGTCAGAAGGAGACTGGGACAGTGCAGGGAGCCCTGGAGCTGTCCTGTGACAGGGACCCTTTACCTCTGGGGCAGGGAGGAAGCTGTGTTTGGGGCCGAGACATTGGGCTGAGCTCCAGGCTGGGACGGAGGGAGGGGAAGGTGTCCTGAGCTCTAGTCTCCCAGGGCCCGGGACGTGGCTCAGCACCAGCACAGCCCCCAGGGACTGATTGGAGACAGGGCCTGGAGGACGCAGAGTTCACTGCTCTGTCCCATTCCCTCCCACAGGGGCTCATCTCCGTCCTGCAGCTGCTCAGAACTCCTGCATCCCATCTGTGTGGGGGTGCAGAAACCCACCTTGATTTCTCCTTGGGTCTGTGGGATGTTGGCAGGCTGTGGGACCCCCCCTCCCACACCAGAACATTCTGTGGCAATGGCCCCAGAGGCCCACCAGGCCTGCCCAAAGGACCAGGCTGTGATGAGGGGACAGAATTTGGGTTTCTTCCTCAACTATGGGACCACCTGGCCAGAGCCCCCTGCGGTTGGCATTTGTTCTCTGTGAACCCCTAGGGGTGTGCAGGGGTGGGCCAGCTCAAGTGTACCCCTGGAGCTCAGCGTGCTTGGGCACCTCATATCTAAGGCAGCCACGCTGAGGGCGGTCTGGAGACCCAGGGACAGGATCGAGACTGGGACTGGTACCAGGTGGAACTCCTCTTCATCCTCCTCAGCTGGGTCCCAGGGCTTCCTAGAGTGGCCCCTGAGAGCTGGCAGAGGGCAGGGACTGAGGTGCTGGGCCCACCTGGGCTATTGTCCTGAGTCGCCAGCCCTGCTTGACCCCAGAGACTGGGTGTCTCTTCTTTCGAGAGGGCATGTCACAGAAGCAGGACAGAGAGGCAGTCCACCTTCCAGGGCACCTGGGCTCCAGCCCCTTGGTGAATCCTCCAGTCTGTGGCCCGAGGTCTCAGCTCTGCTGACGGACATGTGACAGAGGTGGGTGCAGCAGCCACAGAGGCAAAATTGGTTTTCTCCTGGCCACTGCTATTGTACTCGAAGGGTTAGTTCCAGCCTGGCTGAGCCGGCCTAGGGCCCAGGCACCTCCCGAGCTCTCGTCTCCCATCAAATGGCATGAATAATTTAGTCTCTAATTAAAAGTGAGGTCAAACGATGAAAAATTGCTGGACGTTCTGTGGCACAGAGATGCATTGAATCACTGGCAGATCAGCGGCAGGAGGGCAGGGGACTCCAGTTTACCCACCAACTTCTGGGCCTCGACTCGCTCTGCAGCAGCAGGGCCCAGCCTGAGGGAGAGCCCCGGATGAGATGGGCCAGCACTGCCCTGACCTCTGTTCCGAAGTGGCCCTGAGGAGCTCTCTGCCTCTGGCCACGCAGGCCTCCCTTCCTTTCTCCAACAATAGCATGACCTGCCGTGTGCCTGTGGGTGTGTGTGTTTTCTTTCTGGAACATTTTTCCCCCAGACACCTGCTTGGCATCTTGCCTGTCCACCCTGGCTAAATGTGCCATCTAACAATGCCCACTGCCTACCTACCCAGAATCCCTTTGGCCTCCAGTTCTTACCATGCGTCTCCCTTCCTGGCTCCATCCTGGTCTATGCTCACTTGTTTACACACTTGTTATCTGCCTTGTCAGCTAGAATATAAAGGGACCTCTCCTCAGGACCCCCGTGGACGACACCTGGGACACACAGGAGCATGTGGAGGTAGCTAACCCATGCACAGAGCTCCCTGTGGGCAGGTAGGGGGATAGGACAGGGGCTGGGCTCCTCGGGGTCAGCAGGAAGGTGGTTCTCCTGAGAGACAGTGTTGTTCCAAGGTGCCTCTCCCTGCAGTGTTTGTCCAGCTGTCCTTGGTGGAGACACAAGGTCACAGGGTACAGCTGATTGTCCCCTGAACTCTGTGATCCTGCGTCTCCACCAAGGATAGCCAGAGGAACACGGCAGGGAGAGGTGTCCTTTGCTCACGAGCTTGTACTTTGGGACAGCCAACCTCTGCCCATAGGTACCCAGGTTCCTGATGTGTCTGAGCTAAGGGCAGGTGACGGCTTGCAGCTTGCCCCAGCGGAAGCCAGCTGGGGGCAGGGCGGAGAACAGGGCGCTGCAGGGAGAGGTCCAGATCTGCAGGAGGTGGAAGAGCCTCCCCCACCCCCTGCCTGCTCCACAGCCCTCCCTGGGCAGCCTCTCCAACATCCACCTCCTCAAGGCTAGAACCCCTCCGAGAAGAGCCAAGGTTCTGAGCCACTGTACCATGCATGGTGACCCCACCATCACCTCTACTTGCCAGAGGGGTCAGGCAAGTCTCAATGAAGCCAGCTAATACACCCAAGTCCTCCAGCTGATGGGTGGCCAGGAGCTGGTTTGGGCCAGGTCTTGCACTCTCTGGTGGGTTATAGAAATCTGAGCAGTGCCAGACCCTCTCTGGGCTCAGTGACCTCTTCTGTAAAATGGGGCTTGATCCCAAACTCCTGGCTGCTCCAAGCCCTTTCTGCAGGCCAGCATCTTGGCCAGGTGCTAGAAGTTCCTGGAACTTTTCTGTGAGCTTTGAGTCCAGGCTGGGGAGGCAAGCCAGATAGACCTCAGTCACCTCCTGAGGCTGCCATTGCTCCAGGAACGCCCACAGGGCCAGAGCTAGGGAGGAAAACCTGCTGTAGAACAGCAAGCCGACAGAACATAGTTCACCCCATTGTACAGCGAGGGTCCTGGGAGAATCCGTGCAGAGGCTGAAATTCAAACCCAGAGCTTTGGAGCTGTTTCACTGCTCGCGTGCCATCATCAGGCTGCTTACCCTTGCCAACTGGTCTGTGGCTCCTGACTGAATCCTCGTTTGTATTTTCCAGAGAGGAAGGTGGGGGAGGATAGGATGCCGGGGCGGGAGAGGGGGTTGCGTGGGCCCTTGGGTAGCAGATTAAAGATGGATATTTTGTTTGTTACAATCAAGACCTCTGATTTCAGTTTTATAAATTTTTAAAATATTAATTATATTTTGGAAAGTGTGCCGAGGTGAATGCATTAGCCGAGGCTCTTGCTTAGATGGCAACTCTTGGGTGTTTGGCCCAGATTAGCTGCTGTGGAGGTTGGGCATTTTAATCCACCTTGTTAAGTTATTAAATTTTCTTTATTTACATACGGATCCCACTTTCATTAGCATTGTAACAGGTGCTCATTAACAATTTATCATTTGGGAGGCCGGGTGAGAAAACAGCTAAAGAGAGACATTGCTACAAAGTTTACTCTTAATTACAGGGAAGGAATGGTGGAGGACAACAGAGGCTGCTGCTCCCTGGCCCTCCCTGGCTCTGTCAGGCCCTGTGGCTTCAGAACCAGTGGGGCCGGCTGTGGCCAGTCTGGGGTCCTCAGAGGAAACCTCTGCAAGGGACCAGGGCTGCTAGAGGGTCCAGCACTGGGGAAGGATGCGCCTCCTTGGCCCTCCCCCCCCCCAACTGAATTCTGCCTCGAGGTGAGATTGTCTGCAGGGCCACCTGAGAGGCGTGGGCTTGAGGTAGCCACCTGTCCAGGGCTGGCTGGGCAGGGCCAGACCCACCTGACTTCCTAAGCCCAGCAATAGGCCTCCTGAGCTGGGTGACCAATAGCTGGTGGTGGAGGAGGTGTCACCTTTGAGAGACTAGAGGGTCCCCGGGGGCATCCAGGGAGACCCTGCAAAGGGGTGGGCTTCTGGCCTGTGGCTGCCCCTTGCTTTGGGTTAGGCTCTCTCCAGTGTCTTTAGGACCTCCTGTGTGTGACAGTCCAAGTGTCACCACCTTTAGCACCCAGAAGGCAGGGACCTGTGGCTCCTTTCTCATGTGGTTCTTTGGAATGGCAAGGTCACTCCCATCCTGCTGCCCCAGCTCCAGCCAGGCTCCAGGGTGCTAGGAGAGGGGGGTAGGGAGGTAGGGGAGATGGTGTGGAGAGTTGGTGGTCAGTCAGGGGAGAGGCTGGAGTGGGCAGACCCTGGTGCAGAGGCACAGAGGAGCCTACCTGCTGGGGTGCAGGCCTTGGCATTACACCCCTGCCCCTCTCTCCTCTCCACTTGCTGCCGTGCCAACCTGCTTTCTAGGACCTTGCAGCCCACCCACCCCTGTCCAGGAGACCAAGGCTCAGAGAGGAGAAGAGGCGGCCCAGGACTACCCAAGAGGAGGCAGAACTGGGACTGGGAGTGCCCAGTCTCCTGGTCACCTCTTCTCAGACTGGACATGCTGGGGAGAGGGGGCGTGGGGCAAGTGGAGATGAGTTCCCGTCTCCTGGCTGCAATCAGATGGCACAGGGCCACAGCTGTGAACAGCCAGAGGGGCTGGCCTCCCTGCTTCTTGGGGCTGCCTCACGCCAGGTGCCCCAGGGCCTCCTGCACCTGCTACTTGAGTTGCTGCTCTTGGAAGGGCAGCCACACCCATCTCCCCCAGGGCTTGTCACCCTTCCTGGCTTCCCGCAGGCCCCTCTTGCCCCAGGGTGGGGACTTCTCGATGGCCATCCTCTCCAGCTGCCTGTAGGGTGGCCTTGGAGAGCACCTTCCCTGCTCTGCTCCTCTGAAACATATTCCCAGGGTGTTTTTCATGGATGGGGCTTTTAATATTCATCACAGCACTGACAATTTTTCCTACCTTGTTACCAAGAGCCGGTGTCGGTTTTTCATTGTATCTTTGGACAGTTGGTTTATTCGGAGCCACTTAAAGGCTCAAAAGTGATTCTCTTTTTATAATTTGAGAAGTTTCATGGGCTGAACATCAAAGTGACCGGTTGGGACTGTTTCCCACTGTGCTCGGCGGCTCCCCCCGCAGGTCAGGCCCACGGGTGGCTTAGTTCTGTGTGTGTGGTGTGTGTGTATGCACACTGCACGATGATGCCTTTAGTCTACAGTGAGGCTGGGGAGGGGGACTCTTGCAGGCCTGAGAGCAGCTCAGACCCGTACTGGGTCCTGCCCTATCCAGTCTGCAAGGTCCACCAAGAGTCTCTGCTCATTTGTAAAATGAAGGTCTTGGTGCACAGTAGGACCATCAATATGGAGCCACAGGGATGCAGCAAGACTTGGAACTGGGTGGGGGTTGGCTGGGTAAGTCCGTAGCTGAGAGAGATACACGGGAGAACTGTTATGTCCCAGGGAATGGGGAGAGTTTGGGAACAAAACAGGAAAAATTCTGTCTGGGTGGGTGACATCCATGTGGACAGTGTTTGACTTGGTCACAGGAAACAATAGGACCCCGGGACCTAGGGAAACTGGAAATCCGCTACCCCTTGGGGCTATTGCTCCTCCGGGTGGAAAGCCCTGCCCTGCCCTGCCCCTAGATATCCCAAGGTTAAAGGTAGGTGACAGAGTGGGGGGGCTGGGTGTGCCCTGGGGATGTCTTGAGCTCCCTGAGGAACCAGAAGGGGGTGGCCCGGTCCTACCCCAGCTGGACAGGGCAGACTTGACCACGCCAAGAGTTGTTGTAGGTTTGGACTTTGGAAGAGAAGCCAAAATCTGGATTTGCCCCATGAAATTTCCTGATTTCTGATGTCAGGGATGATTTCCAAAATGTTAAAAATACCATGTAGCTGGTGGCACAACACTGGGAAGTCCTTAATGCCAGTTGTACACTGAAGAATGGTTTAAAATGGTAAATTTTATGTATACATTTTACCACCATGAAAAAAAAAATACCATGTAGCAAATACTGGTTGGGCAGATTCATGTTGCAGGCTCAGTTTGCCACCTCTGGTGTGGACTGGGACATTGTTGCATTTTTCCTGACTTCAGCATTAGCATGCTCACTCTTGGATCAACCACAGATTTGTTTGAAAAGAATGAACCTACTGCCGGGCACAGTGGCACACACACCTGTAATCCCAGCAGCTCGTGGAGGCTGAGGCCGGAGGATTGAAAGTTCAAAGCCAGCCTCAGCAATTTAACTCAGTGAGACCCTGTGTCTAAATAAAATACAAAATAGGGCTGGGGATGTGGCTCAGTAGTTAAGTGCCCCTGAGTTCAATACCTGGAAACCCTCCCCCCCCAAAAAAAAGAATGGACCTACTGCTGTTATTTGTTGAGGTCACTGGTCCACCAGATCTTCAGGTGTTGATTTCCATCTGCAGTGCTCAGAGACCAGTACCTGGGTGGGGAGGGGGTCATGATCTGTGTGCCTGTGTCCCCTCCCAGCTGTCATTTTCTCCTCGTCCCCCATATTTGCCAGGACTACCCCCACCTCCCTGCCTCCAACGTCACCTGCACCCACCCCTCCACACTGCCACCAACACTACTGTTATTTTATAGCATTTGCACTTTCAACTATAGCAAGATAAATGGGCACAATTATCCCATTCCCAGCCTGGGAACATGTGGCTTGGCATATGCGGGGCCAACCTCAGCAGAAATCCAAGAGTGCCTCCCCAGACGGCGGTCCCCGCACCCACCGCCCCAGCTTCACCCGGCCCGGCACCGCCCGTCCCCGCAGACAGCTGCGAATAGTCAGATGGCTTTACAATATTTTTACTTATAACAGAGAAAGTAATAAAAACACACATTTAAGTAGCATGCTGCCGTTCTAAAAGAGCTGAGAAACCTAGGGAGCCCTGGGTTGGCGGTAAATTCAGAGCACAGGTTAGGTGCGGAAGAGCTGGGGGCTGGGATCAACAGCCGGGCCACCTGGCTGGGGGGTGTGACTCCCAGGTCAGGTTGGTGTCCCTGCTGTGAAGTGCAGGTTCCCAGCCTTCAGTTTTTCAGGGGTTACTTTGGGGGGTGGGGCAGAGAGACTCCTTAGAGAAGCTGGTGAGAGTTAGGGGCCTTGCCTTTGAAGAGTGACACACAAGACATTTGGTGACAACCTGAGGGAGCCCCGAGGCCTGGACTAGGCACAGGCGTGAATGTGGGCACACTGGTGAGCTTCTTCTGTTCTCCCTGCTTGGCCTGGGCCACTGTTCTGGGGACCAGTGGACTGGTCTTCCCAAGGACAGGGACTTACCTGAAGTCCTACACAGGGCCAGTGGCATGGCCAAGATGCCTCTCACTTGCCTCCCAGAGCCTGAGGACCCCGGACCTGGGCTGTTGATGACAGGAGGGTCTTCCCTGAGTCTTGACCACTGCTAACACCCTGGCTGTTGTCCTGCAGGCTGCAGAAGGGCTGGAAGAAGCCCCTGTCCTTTGTGGCAGTGTCTTTTCAGGTGGCCTTGGGGACCAGTGTTCAGCTTCTGCTTCCCCAGATGGAGGGCAGGAGAAGCCAGGCCCCATTCCCAGCCCCTCCCACCACACCTGTGTGCGCAGCCTGCATTCCTGCCCCTGCGGCTCGCCCGGTGGCCCTGGAGGATGGCAGGAGGCGGGCGCCTATCTGCAGTGGAAGAAATCGAGGCTTGGACAGCACAAGAAGTAACTCAGCCCGTCTGTGCAGACGACTCTGGGCCAGCGGCCGGTGGCTATGTGACTCTGCAGAGGAGCCATCTCCGGTGGGTGGCATCATCTCGCACCTCACCGTGGTAGCTTGGCAGGTGCGGCTCAGGGGCAAGCGACGGAACCCACACGCTAGGTGATCCTGGGCGGCTCCAGGATGAATTATGTAGGGCTGGGGACAGGGAAGCTGGTGTGGGGCTCCTGGTCTTCCAGGGGTGGTGTGAAGTTGGTGGAGGGCTTTCAGCAGGGGTAGCTCACGGTCCTAGGGTCCCGGGGTGGTGGGGTGGGGCAGGAGGATATGGGTGTAGTACCCCAGTGGCCATATCTGCCCTTCTCATGCCTCGTGGCCAGTGGCTGTGGCTCCCCGGTGGGAGCCTGAACAAGGAGCACTTCTAGGGCACAGTCCAAGATCCATGGCCTCTGGTGCACTGGCTCTGTCCCCCTGTGGGGACACCGCCCATGGATCCTAGTACACAGACCCACGTGCCCCTTTGTTGTGCCTGGGATGGGTGTCGAGTCACAGGGTCAGGGGCCTGTCCAGGGTGCCTTTGCTCTGGTCTAGATGTCCTCCCTGTCCCCAGGGTCCTCCAAGAGCTGACCAAGCATGGAGGAAGCAGGTTGGTCTTCCCTGGATGGACCTGTATTGTCTCCTACCCTTGCCCTCCCGTGTGGGAGAACTCCATTCCCAAATCATGGCAACCAAGGGCACAGATACCCCCTAGGGGGTCACACTGGGCCAGGTCACACCTATTTTGGAGGGTGAGTGTCCCAGGAGTCCTGAGCTGTGCATCCGCTCGTTTGAAGGACCCCAGTGCCCTGTGAGGAGGGTTGGCCCCATGAGTGCCCACAAAGCTGGAAAGAGATGCCTGTCCCCCTCCTGGGGCTCTCACTCCCCAGCCCAGCTCCTGCTTCAGGGGTGTGCTCTCCCACCCCACCTCCCAGGCCCCCTGCCCTCCTCGGGCCCCTGACCCCCCCATCCCCACACCCCTCAGGTATGCCGATGGCCATCCCCAGCTCCCTCCCCCACACCTGTGCTCCACTCTGGTCCTGTCCCTTCAGCAGGGAGTCTCTGGGGCATGTCCACCACTGTCCATCTCTACCCATTCGCCATCTCACCACGGGCCCTGTACAACCTGCCTCTCCTGCCCCCCCCTGCCCCGCCTTCTCCCCACAGTAGCCAGAGAGAATTTCAGAACCCAGATCTGGTCACCAGACCCTCTGAGAGCCCTCAAGGTGACACCCAGTTCTGCCCCCTGGCCCTGATCCTCCTCCCCAAGCCTTCCTCTCCCTCGCTTGCTCTTCCAGAAGGAAGCCAGAGGCCACCCCTACCGGCCGCCATATCCATGTCCCCTCAGCCTGGTCCTTCTCTGGGATGTGGGCCTCCCTGTGGCCCGAGGCCTCATCCCTCCTGGGCCTGCCAGTCAAGGGAGACCTTTCCTGTCCACCCGCTCAGGTCCCCGCTGGCCGGCCCGGAAGAAGGAAGGAAGAAAGTCTGGGAAATGCGGAAGCCCCTGCTTTGCCCAAGAGCACCCTGAGCTGCGGAGCCTTTCAGCGAGGACCAGTTTCCGCACATGAGCGGGGACTTTTCAGCCTTGAGGTTGGCAGTGGAGCTGGGCATGTGGTGGCCCCTCATTCCTGAGCCTGAGCTCTTCCCCAGGAGAGGGGGGCGGTCACAGGAAACCCACCCTGTCACCTGGCAGTTGGACTGGCCCATGGCCATCTCACAGGGCTCACCCTGTGTCTCAGGAGGAGGAGGCAGGGTGTCACGAGGGCACACGGGGCCTGGCTTTCCTCCTTCTGCTGCCCTGAGCTCCCCGGGTCCTGTTTCCATGGGTGAGACGGAGGGCGTGGGGCCCAAAGGGAGCATGGGAGGACCCAGGGGCTGCAGGGGACAGGGAGGTAGCTGGGGAGAGTGGCCCACCATGCCACAGGGGCACAGGGGGGATTGCTGAGCATGAGGCCAGCCCGTCTTCTCCTTTCCTCCCAGGTTGGCAGAGAGGACGGGTGGCACGACCTTCAGGCTGCATTTGTGAAGGTGGGAGGCTGGGCCAGGGAGGTCGGGGGTCTGGTGCTCATGATGCTGAAGCGCCAGTTGTCTGGGTGTCAGAGGCCGGGAAATCTGGGTAACAGCGGGGACCCTGGGGGGACACAGAGATGTCAGTCTGCAGGAAACCCGCTCTCAGAAAAGACCTACCTGGGTCACAGAGGGGCCACTGAGGCAGGAGGAAGAGGGCACCTGGCTCCTGGGTCCCTCACCCCCTCCGAAGCCCCCTGGAGCTGCCACACACGTCCCCGGGCGCTGAAGCCTTAAGACACCCAGAGGCCCCTCTGAGGCCAGGTGACCTGCTGCCAGGGGACGCAGAGCCATGTGGCGGGCTGCTTGATTGTGTCGATGGGAGACGATTTTCAAGGTGAAATTTCTAGTCCAGTTGAGTCACTTTCGTTCAAGGCATCGCGCAAAATGTCATCCCCGCCCCGTTCCCCGCGCAACGTGCTTCTCTCCCGTCGCATTTAAATTTACTCCACTTTCCCTCCCTGACACCTGTTTAAATCAATATCTTCCTCTCCAGGTCGCGGGGAGAATGTGCCCGGCTCTCCACACAGCGCTTCTCAAATCCACTAAAATCAACACAATAATTGAAATATTTTCAAGCTGATTACACCGCAGCCCGAGGCTAGCCTGGTTGCTAAGGGTGAGCTCCGCGGTTGCTAGGGGGAGTAAATCATCTTGCATTATTTGATTTTTGTTATAGATATGAAACCGCTACTCCCGCGATTAAATGTCTCTCAGCCTAACACCTATGGGACCTGGGGAGAGAGGAGAGAGGGGCTCCAACCTTGACCCTGTCAAATAAATATCTCTAACTTTTCCTGTCCTCAGGCTTCCCAGCCAAACCTGTCTGCGGGATTTTTTTCTTCCCTTAACCTGACTTTAAATAACAAAGCTATGGGGACAGGGAGATGAAGAGAGGAAAGGCTGTCTGTTCTATTAACGGGCGCTCAGCGTTGAAACCTCCATGCCATCCTGGACCAGCGTCACCGATAGCTTCAGACGCCAGCTCAGGGCCGCTCCCCTCTCTCCCGGCTCAGGCTAGGTGGCTCTTCCGGGCTCCCTGGCCAACAGAGGGGGAGGCTACCAGGGACTTGCCTACCCTGGTGACTCCTGCCCACTTTTGGCCACCTCCCTCTGGGTGGATCCTATCCAGACCATGACTTTGGCCCAGCAGAGTCACCCTGGAGAGGGACAGGAGGGTCCTGGGGAGTCCCAAGGTGGAAGGACCAGAGAAACAGGTTAAGTCTCCAGGGAGAATCAGGCCCAGAGGGGGTCGGGGTCCTGCCCTATCCCCCCCGAGTGGCACACAGCCCTTGCTCCTGGAGGCATGGGACAGCGCATGGCTCTCCCTGGCCACAGTGGCCCTCCACAGCCTGCCAGCTGCCCTGTGGGGTACTCAGGCTGCAGGCAGCACCCTCATCCCCCAGCCTCCGGCGTGCGCACCCGCCAGCCCAGGCCATGCCCGCTGAGCCATAAGCACCGCTGCATGGAGCCGGCTGTCTGGCGGCAGGTGGGCGGGCGAGGTGGCCCTGCTGGGACCCAGCCAGCTGTTCCTGCGAATGAATCTGAGTAAATTAACAAACACACACAAACCTGTCACTTGCATCATTCTTGATGACTCTAAGTGCCAGGAGGGGCAGGCCCCCGCCTGGGTGAGCTGTGACAGTGTGTGTGTGTGTGTGGGGGGGTGGTCCCTGTGTCACCCCTTTGCAGCACCCGGCCCTGCCCGGAACCCACCGGCCCTTGCTTCCCAGCCTGTCCTCTGAATGTATTTGGGGTTGAAATCCTGCCCAGTGTCCAGCCTGCAGGACACAGCCTCAAGCCCCTGGAGCCATCCTCTGTGGCATCCCCAAAGCCCAGGTCCTCCTCTGCCACCAAACATGCCCATTCTGCGAGTCAGATCTGGACATTTCTTTGGCTGGACATCATCTCTGACCATGGGGGCTGTGCAGCCCATGATCCAGGGGGAAGCACACTTGCTCACCGTGTTCAGGGAAATGGCTGGCCCTCCACAACCCTTGGGGTGGCCACATGGGTCGCAGGTGAAGCACAGATACTGGGGTGACAGGCTGATGGGTGACCTCCCCCACCACGGAGCTCAAAAAGAGGGGTGCCCAGGGTGCAGCATAAAGCCTGCCTAGGGTGTCCCCCACCACTTCAGGTCTCACCTGTAGCCAAATGCCTCTTGCCCAGGTCCTGCCAGGCCTGGCCCCAAAGCCTGTCCTCCTTGTTCTGCAGGGTCCCAGACAAGGCCCCAGCCAGTCTCCTCTTGGTGGCACATTCTTGAAGCCATTCCAAATAGAAACCCAGGGACCCATTTTCTGAGCCCAGGGTGGACGTAGCCAAGGGTGAGCACTTGGGACCAGGGGTGGGCATGGGGTACCCGTGCTGCTTGACCCCCTTCCTGAACCCCCTCTTAGGAGCCCACAAAGCACTTTCTCAACTGCCCTTGGAGACCCAGGCACGTGGGCTGTCCCCAATACACAGATGAGGAAACGGGGGTCTCGGAGCTTCAACCACCTGACCAAGATGGCCTCAGCCAAGGTCAGGGGTGAGGTGAGGGGAGGGCAGAGGAGTCTGGGCTGGTGGGGCCGAGGGCTGGCTTGGAGCTCCTGGCTCTGCAGGCTGTGCTGGGCCAGGGGTCTGCCCGTCTTGGCACAGGTGGGCGTCCGTGACCCTCAGCCCTGGGTCAAGGTCAATGAGGGGCAGGGCTGAGGACAGGAAAGCCACACCTGGAGAATGACCCCCAGACCTGCCCCCGGGGTCACTGGACTTTATCGAAGCACCAACCACACCCAAGGATGGGGTTGACACCAGCGTCCACTCTCCTCTGTGCCGATGAAGGCCATTGAGCAAGGTCTGGAAAATGCCAAACAAGCATTCGGAGGTACATCTCTCTGAGAGAACCATCTGGAGCTTAGAATATTCCAGAATGGTTGAGGCCAGCTTGGTTGGAGATCCCAGGAGAGCAGTCTGAGTGGGACAGGACTGCTGGGACCCAGGAAGGTAGGGAAATCCTACCCGAGTGCCACTCCCTCATGTGGCCACGCTTAGGCTTGTCCCCTCACGCCTCACTCGGAGCCCACAGCTGCCCCAGCAGGTGCCAACCTGCCCCTGCTACAGATGCACGGCCAAGGCTGGGGAAGCGGCTACCCAGGTGCAGCCGGAGCGTGGACCTAGTCCTGCTCTCCCCTTCCATTCCTGGACATGGGGCAGCTTCCTGGGTCGGACCTGGCTGGAGACTCAGGCCTGGCCACTCTGCTCCCTTCAGGTCCAGCAGGCAGCAGGGAGGTGAGCGGGTGGGGTGCCAGGCTGTGGGGAAGCAGATATCAGGGTCAAGCTCTGGGATGCTGGGACCTAGAGCGAGGGCAGCCAGGTGTCCTTGAGCACAGCTCCCACCTCTGTTTTTTGTCCTCAGAGGCTCCCGAGGGCCTGAAATAGCAATAATGTGCCGTGTACACCGTAGGCGCTCCCTAAATGGTGATGGTTATTCTTGGGTGTCTCTGGAAATCCCCAGGCGTGGACTTGGGCCCTTCGCCAGTTGAGGGCATTTGCCCTCCTTCAGCCTCGGCTCAGGGGTGACCTCTGCTTGGGGTGGCGACCCCAGTCCCTTTGTTCCTTCAAGGCCTGCTCCAGCACCCCTCCTCGAAGCCCCAGACGCGTCTCTATAGTCAGCACTGACCAGGGACCCAGGAGCTCCCAGGGCAGGGACCCTGCTCAGCTCACTGTGTGGCCAGCCCGGAGCCAGGCACTCAGCTGTCATAGGGGCCCTGGGTCAGAAGCACGAGTTGGCATGGGCAGCCATCTCTGGTCCATCCGGTCCAGCCCAGGCTGGGGACTGCCCCTCTGCAGCCCTAGGGGGTCTTCAGCACGGGACTGAGGGAGGAACCCGGGTCCCTGTCGTGGTCATTTGGCGCCTGTGACTGACCCAGGGGTCTGGTGGCCTTGTTAGGGGCTGGCCGGGGCTGACTCCTAGGTCAGATTTCTCAGGGTGCTGGGGCCCCCTGCAGCGGCCATGGTGTGTTTGCTTAGGAGTCCCCAAGTCAGGGTGCAGCGTTTGATTTTCATCTCTGTAGACCCAGGCCAACCCGGGACAGCTATCCTGAGCTGAGTGTGGATCAGAAGAGGCGGAGGCTGCGGGGCTGGTGGAGGAGGTGGAGCTGGAGCCGAGGGGCAGGGCCCCATGGCCCAGGAATGGAACTGGGGGGACGCCACCCCAAGCAGAGGTCACCCCTGAGCCAAGGCTGGAGGAGGGCAAAC